CACAAGCTCATGTGCAGCAACCCTCCGTACTGCACCGCGTCGCCTTGCACCGACTGCTCCGGGGCCGCGGCCTCCTCTGCCGGGGCGGCGGCGGCGGCGGCGGCGGCGGCGGCTGCTCCTGGCTCTCCTCCGCTCCCCGCTCCCGGCTCCTCCTCCTCCTCCTCCTTCTCCTCCTCGTTCTCCTGCGCCTCCTCTTCCTCGCGCTCCCCCTGCAGCCGCGTGCGCGGTGTGCGCCTCGAGCTGCTTCTCCAGGCGAAGAGCGCTCCAGCCCGCTAGCCTCTCGACCAGGCCGCACAGGTGGGCTACGCACCGTATGTGATGCGCCAATGCGCCAGGCCCGCCGCGGCGTATTCGAGGCGTCCTGGCCGGGACCTCGGTGACCTCTCCGACGCATGCCGCGCACATGGCCATGCTCCGCGACGTGGGAGCGGAGTTGGCCCAGTCCCGGTCTTGCGGCCGCCTCCGCGCTACCCGCCCCCTCCTCGCCCGCCTTCCTGCCCACCTCCTCGCTTCCCGGGCGCTGCCGCCGCTGCCCACGCGCCGCCGGCTCGGACTCAGGCCAGCAGACGCACGGCCGAGGCGGAGGCACGGCGCTGCACGCGGCAGCGCCCAGCCGCCCTGGATCCTCAGACCCCGCCTCCACGAGCCCAAGATCCTCGGCTCTCCCTCGATCCTCCGCTCATCCTCGATCCTCAGATCCGCCGATCCTCAGGCCCGCCCTCGATCCTCAGACCGCCCCCCTCCATTCGATGCGCCCTGGATCCGCAGATCCTCCCCCTCCTCGATCCTCGATCCTCCTCGCCAGCACGAGGAGCAGGAGAGGCCCCCCGATAGTAGCGTGGACCCCCTGGGCGGGCAGGCGCTGCAGCTCTGCGCGAGGGCGCCCAGGAGGCGAGCGGCCGGGCCGCAGGCGCTGCGAGTGCGCCGCGGGCGCCGCCGCGCGGCGGCCCCCCGCCGCCCGCTGAGCAGCCTGGCGGCGGAGCCGCCCCAGATCCTCCGTAGCTGGGCGCCCGCTCGGCCCGGAGTGCGGTCCGCCAGGGACGCCTGAGTCACATGAGGGCGCTGGCCAGGAGCCCGAGCAACGCTCGGCGGAGCTGCCCAGGTGCGCAGACGACGCTTCGGAGCGCTGCCGGGGAGCTGCTCGGGCGCTGCCTACGAGCAAAGGACGCGCTGCCCAGGAGCTGTATACAAGCACTTGCATCAGGCGCATTGGAAACGAGTCGGAGAAAGCTTGCGGGACTAGCTACAACAAGGTCCTCTTCTGATGAAGAAGTCCTGCATAAGTTCAACCTTGCTCCTCTCCGCACACGACGCCGGGAGGGACCTCATTCACCGTACCACATAAAGTTGTGACCCTCCGAGCTCGTGGTGCCTTCTTCAGTTTTGATCGCGTCGATACCACCGCCACCTGCGGGATCCGTGCCATCCCTTTGTTCCCGCTCGGCCCAGACTGCGCCCCCCCGCATCACCCCGCCTCGGTCCGATCGACGGGGGAGTCGGGGGCGTCCAGACGGGGAGTGAGGGCGTTTGGCTTTGGCTCCTGGCTGGCGCCCGCCGGGCCGTCGCGCCGAGCCCTGACCGTTGCCGAGCTTGGGCCTCCTGCGGCAGCTCCTGGAAGACGCTCCGGCCGTCCTCCCCCTACTCCTCAATATTCCTCCTCCATTCCTGCTCCTCCTGCTGCTCCTCCTCGTCGTCCTCCTCCTCCTTCTCCTCCCACTCATCATCATCATCATCATCATCATCATCATCATCATCATCATCATCATCATCATCATCATCATCATCATCATCATCATCATCATCATCATCATCATCATCACATTCATCATCATCATCATCATCATCATCATCATCATCATCATCATCATCATCATCATCGTCATCATCGTCATCGTCATCATCATCACCATCATCATCATCAGCATCATAATCAGCATCAGCAGCATCAGCATCATCATCATCGTCATCATCATCATCACCATCATCATCATCATCATGACCATAGTCATCAGCATCAATATCATAAGCATCATCAGCAGCATTATCATCATCACCATCATCATCATCATCATCATCGGCATTACCATCAGCAGCATCACCATTCATGATCATCAGCAGCAGCATCATCAGCATCACCATCACCATCATCATCATAGTCATCAGCATCATCGTTCTTGTCATCACCATCAGCATCGGCATTACCATCAGCAGCATCACCATCATCATAATCATCATCAGCATCAGCATCATCACCATCACAATCGTCATCATCATCATCACCATCATCAGCATCATCATCATCATCATCATCATCAGTATCATCATCATAAGTGTTTTTTTTCGCCAGCTACGGAAGATCGTTCCAGGTGGGCGGAGATTCTGAGACATGTCCAGATGGTTCCCGAGGACCTCGAGGTTTCCTGGAAGGTTGAATATGATAGTTTTTTGAACATATGCGACACTGCCGTAACTCGATGCCTGGACCAGACGGTATTACATATGCGTGCTGGCGAATGGGAGATGCGCCGAGATACCTCTACAACTTTTATCTGGGGATTACCCATGGAAATGTTTCAGAGCTGCCTGACGGTATGGGGGAACTGCTGATGGTTGTCCTACCTAAGGGTGAGCAGGAGGGGGACGGGACAGAGAACATTATTCGGGATGCAGCATGCACGCGCCCGCTCTCCATGTCTAACACCGATGCGGAGATCCTCTCTGCTGTGTTCTGCCACCCATTGAATGAGCTCTCTAAAGTGACGGTCGCACACCGTCAGAAGTGGTTGAAAGATAGACAAATGCTCACGAATGTTGTGCAGGCAGAAAGTTGGGGGCTGCAACGAGAGTTGCTCGCACATGACTCGTCTGCCATCCTCTCGACTGATTTATCCGCTGCTTCCCCGTCGCTTCTGCATGTTTGGATGTTTGCCGTGCTTACTGCTATGAATGTCCCCTCCTTATCATCACTAACTTCTACCTCATGCTCTATAAGAACAGCCAGGGCGTGGTAACTCTTGGTGGGCAGAAATTCGGGAGCTTTCCCATCCAGAGGGGGTGCGTCAGGGCGACCCTAGCTCTATGGCCCTCTTCTGTCGTTGCATGGACCCTGTATTGCCATGGATACAACAGACCCTCCCCGCCCATATTGCTCTGTGCCTTGCATTTGCTGACGACTGTGTTTTTGGAATGGTGGATGTCTTTCGCTCGACTACTGCAGTGTGGCGCACGCTTCTCGTCCTCGAGTCAGCTATTGGGCTGGCGCTCAACTTTCGCAGGTGCACTGTTCTGATATGTGGGAGGGTTAGGAAGGAGGAGGTCAGTGACATGATGTTCAAGGAGGCGAGGGGCTTGGAGTTGGTGGGAGTAAGTTTTGCAATCAAGTACTTGGGGCTGTATGTTGGTCCAGATGCTGCTGGTATGGCATGGAGTGCCCCGCTGCCGAAATTTGTTACAAGCTGTGCGATGCTCCGACAGCTCGCCCCTGGATATGCGATGGCAGTTTCTACATGTTTGGTAATGTGCCTCTCTGTGCTCCGGTTTGTTCTCCAAGTTGAAGCAGTCACGAAACAGGTCATGTATGTATACACGCACATGTTACAATGATTTACGAATGGCCCATACAATGCGTTCTCGTATAACATGCTTGTCTCGCTCCAGAAGCTCGGGTTCAGTATCGAACCCCCAGATGTTGTTGCTCTCTCGCGTGCCTGCCGCACCCGTCTTGCTGTGAAGTGCCCTGGCATTCGCGAGTGCTGGGGCGATCTGCTGAAGCTCACTGAGAGCAGCGCGATATGTTATGCCAGAGTTGTCGACCCGCGGGGATGGTATCGCAGGTCGTTTTTACCTAAGGTGTTCGAGGTGGTGCAGAGTGTCCAGAATACGGTGCAGCTCTCCGGTCTTCCCCCTGATACTCTCCAACGGAAACTTTACACCCGTTTCCACGCCCTTCCTCTTCCTGGACCTACGGTGTTTGAAGGCCTTCAGTGTCGACTGAGAAAGTGGCTGCCTGAAGTGGATTGCAGTAATCTCTCCCATCTTGTCCTTCAAAACCGACGTGGCGCAGCAGCGACTTCCCATTACCTTGCTATGTGTGTTCGTCGTATCTGCACGCGTGCTGTGTGTGCGAGTGCTCGATTCCACTCTCATCCTCGTGGCTGTATCTTTGGATGTACTCATCGGGAATCTGGGTTTGATATGTCTCGGGGCTATGATGATCTACGTCATTACAAACTCTGCCATCGTTTCCGCGAGTTATGTGTCCAATGGATTTGTACTGCGTTTCCAAGTGCCCCTGTGATGATTCCATGGGTTGCCGCGCTGATTCAGCTCTATCCTCTTCCCCCGAATGCGTCTCTGCTGTGTGCCTGCATGTGTGATGCTTTCCTGCGTGCTCACCACTGTGTGAGGCTGAGCCTGCCTGGCACGGCCCAGCAAAACTTTGAAGCTCGCCTCCGTCTTTTGACTCGGAGGCATGTGGCTGTTGCCGAGGTGTGGGTTGACCTCCGTGCAGGGCCTGGGTGGTATGTCCTTGCTGGTGTGTCTTTGGGAGCCGAAACAGCTCTGTCTCAGGGGGTATGCAATGAACTTCAGGGACAGTCTCGTCTCTGAACGCTGGCTTCTGGCTCTGGCCGCTGTGCCACGGGGGGGGGGGGGGGTTCGGCATTCATCATCTGATCGTGGCCCACGGACATTGTGCGGCCAAAACCAAAGCCCTCGCAGTACCCGGTTCCGCAGCTGTGGGGGTGGCGGTTGATGCCCCGTGGCTAGTGACGCATTGGAGCGGAGACGACACGGCGACAAGGCAAACAAAAATCCGTATCATCATCATGAGCATCATCACCATCATCATCTCTTTCATCATCTGCATCCTCACCCTCATCCTCACCCTCATCCTCACCGTCATCCTCATCCTTCTCGCTCCTCGCTTCTCACTCCTCGCTTCTCGCTCCTCGCTCCTTGCTCGTCGAAGGAAGCGGGTGGTTCTGCCGGGCGACAGTCGCATGCCGTTCGGGCTCCAGATCGTCGACACGCCCGGCATGATCGATTTGCCAGCAAGCGACAGTTCCTTTGGTGGCAGGGGTTGCCTGGGATGTCGGAGAAACGTACCCGCCTTCATCCTTCACTGCTCCATCGTTCCTTCTACCTCTGACCATTTCTCGCTCTTCCCTCCACAAGACCCGCGCCCTCCTCCTCTTCCTTCTCCTCCTCCTCTTCCTTCTGCCCCATACCCATGACACCCACAGCCTCTGTTGCTCTCGATGCGGTTTGGGGTGCACGGGGCTGCCTTGAAGAACTTGTACAGGGGTCCAAACTTGCTCGCGATGCCAAGGGAATTGGGATCGGGGCGACACAGGCTCTGGCGGGGGCTCCGAGTTTCATTCCCTGCGCTCCCCACACGAGGTATCGACCTTCAGGAGACAGCCCAGCGGCAATGCTGGCTGTCCTGCCTTCCTTCCACACGTGTCCTTTCACGAGGTATGTATTCCCAACCCTCCCTCTGGTTGGGCTCTCGTTTTTAAACGAAACACTGCGATCTCCAAGGACCTGCCCCTCCTCCTCCTTTTCCTCTTCATCTCATTTTCCTCCTCCCTCTTCCTCCTCTTCCCCTCCTCCTCTTGCTCCTCTCGAACTGCGCAGCCGTCGCCATTTTCGTGGGCTCTTGGGAGGTACGGCGGAGTGCAGTGCAACGTGGATGCAGCGCCGCCGGGGGCCGCGAGCTGTGCAACCGTCGCCATTTTCGCGGGCTCCTGGGAGGCACGGCGGAGTGCAGGGCAACGCTGATCATTTGAGACCCCGCGTCTCCGTCGGGGGCTGCGAGCTGCGCAGCTGTCGCCACGTTCGGGGGCTCCTGGGAACCACGGTGGAGTGCAGGGCAACGCGGATCGTTCGAGACCTTGCGGCTGCGTCGGGAGTTGGGCAATTGTCACCACTTCCGTGGGCTCCCGGGAGGCACGGCGGAGCGCAGGGCGCAGATCATTGGAGACCCCGCGTCTCCGCTGGGCATCTGCGAGCTGCGCAGCCGTCGCCGTCTTCTTGGGCTCCGGGGGGGGGGGGCACGGCGGCCTGCCGGGCGCGTGCCCACAGGACGCGTGGCGTCGTCCAGCCATTTTGTGCGCGGCGCTGTTGCAGCACAGAGCGCAGACCCCGCCCCCCTCCGCAGGTGCCCGTCGCCCGCGGCAGCAGCAGGCGTGGGCCGACCAGATGCAGCGCACGGCGCTGTTACTCTCACAGATAGAACGTCCCCATGCGTCCCCTATCCTCCTCGTCCTCCTCCCCCTTCTCCTCCACTTCTGTCCCCCCTTCGATATTCCCTGTCGTGCTTGTTTGGCGAAGCATGTCAGAGTGCTGCAAATGTCATCGGTTGTTTATGTGTGGACAGTTCGTGAAACTACTCGCCTCGCGTGAAAATAAGGGCTATGGGCACGTCTCGGGTAGTGTGAACGACAAGCCAGCGACAATGCCAGTCATCCTTTGCACCTTTCGTGTGGAGTGACGCGGAGAGTTGTTCACAGTGCCGACGGTAGCTCGTTCACTCATGGCTTTTCCGCCTTCGCGATTTCTCCCCATACGAAGTGTGCGCCCCATGATGGCCACGCGAAAGTGCTGGCGGTCCTGCAGCCATTCCATTTGATTTTGTCCAACGTGTTGTTATTGATGATGTGATTTGTGACCGTGGTATAAATGGGAGTCTTGCTCATAGTACCGGCGGTAGCTCCTTCTTTCGTGGGTTTGTCCGTCTTCGCGATTTCGCCCCCATGCGAGTCGTGTGTTTCCAGGACATCCCAGCGGCAACGCCAGCGTCTCTGCATCCATGCCAGACGAGTTTGCAAACCTTATTGTTGATGCGACTTGCGACCGTGGTGTGGATGGAAATGTTGTTACTAGCACAGTGCCTCTTCGTTCCGCGAGCCTAACCGTCCTAATGATTCCGCCTGCATGCGAGGCGTTGGCCTCCAGGACGCAGTCCGGCGGCAATGTCCGTGGTCTTGCATCCTTGCCGTAAATGTGTTTGCCCCGCTTGTTGGTGTTGATTTGTTTGACCTTGGTGTGAATGGGAGTGTTGTTAATGGCATGGTAGCTCTTCGCTTCGTTCGCTTGTCTGTCTTAGCGATGCCTCCCCCATATGATGCTGTTGTCTCCAGGACAGAGCCCGCCGGCAATGCATGCCAACGGTCTTGCATTCACTCCAGATGTATTTGCCGAGTATTTTGTTGATGTGATGTGCGACCGTGGTGCGATTGGGTTAATAGTGCGATCGTTGTTACCTTGGTGAGCTTATCCGTTATAGCGATTCCGCTCCCGTTAGATGCTGTGGTATTCAGGACAGCCCGGCGGCAGTGTCGACAGTCTTGCATGTTTGCCACGTTTGGACTGCCCAGCCTGTTATTGCTGAGATGTGTGCCGGGCTGGTGTTCTTTAAGAGCACGGTAGCACCGTAGTTCTTCCATTCGTGCGCTTATGCGTCTTAGACATATCGGTTCCCACTCGAGGCTTTGGCCTCCAGGACACAGCGCAGCGGCAATGCCGGCGGTCCTGCGTACTTCTCATATGTGGTTTCGCAGTTTCTTGCCGATAAGATGTTCAGGGTAAGTTGAACCGAGGTTTTTGTTAGTGGGTTGGCGGAGTGCACATATGCTTTCTGGCACGTCCAGAGAGCGTGAGAGACCCCAGGCCCCCTGGCCCCTATACTCGAAAGCATTCGCGCGCCAGGGGCATCTCACGCCATGCCCGCAGCGTCACCCTGGGGCAGGGTGTAGCAGAAGAGAATCCCCCACACATCATGCTACATCACAATGGCCCGTAAAAGGTGGCCATTCTTTCCGAGGAGATCAGCCCACCAGCAATTGGAAACACCTGCCTTGGCTCAGGCGCCCCATCGTAGTCAGGTTGCTCGGGTGCTCCTCCTCCTTCCCTTCTCGGCCCTTTTCCGCCCTCCATCGCTTCCCCTTCCCATCGTCGTGGTCTTCCATCCTCCTCATTTTGATGGCCAGCATTGAGTGTTAAGGGGATGGTGATGTCTACAGGCTACAACTTCGTAGACGTGGCGCGATGGTGGGCCAAGCGTTCCGACCTCATTTTGCTGCTCTTCGACCCAGACAAGCCAGGCCACTTGTGAGTGCAGAAGGGGCGGCGCGCACAACAACCCAAGCCGCAGACATACAATGAGGTCGGCGAGCAGGAGGAGTAGGAGGAGGAGGAGGAGGAGCGACGTTTGTCACAGACCCTGAAACCTCAAGCAACAGCAACAGGAGGAGGGACAAAAAGACGGATAAGACGAAGAACAATGCAGTTGTCGTCGTTTTCGCCTGGCGTCGTCGTCGTCGCCGCCGTCGCCGTCGTGACGTCGTCGTCGTCGACGCCCGTCGCCGTCGTCGTCGTCGCCGCCGCCGCCGCCGTCGACGTCGGCGTCGTCGTCGTCGTCGTGGTCGTCGTCGTCGTCGCTTATCGCTCGTCGCTCGTCGCTCGTCACCGTCGTCGCCGTCGTCGCTTGTCGTCGTCGCCGCTCGCCGTCGACGTCGTCGTCGCTCCCCGTCGTCGTCGCCGTCGTCGTCGTCGTCGACGTCGTGGTCGTCGCCGCCGTCGTCGTCGTCGTCATTGTCGTCCTTGTCGTCGTCGCCGTCGTCGTGGCAGTCGTGGTCGTCGTTGTTGTCGGCAGTCGTGGTCGTCGTCGTCGTCGTGGTCGTGGTCGTCGTCCTCGGTGAGGTCGTCGTCGTCGTCGTCGCTCGTCGTCGTCGCTGTCGTCGCTCACCGTCAACGTCGTCGTCGTCGTGGCCGTCGTCGTCGTCGTCTCCGTGGCGTCGTCGTCGCCTGTCGCCGTCGTCGTCGTCGTCGTCGTCGTCGTCGCTTGTCGTCGTCATCCTCGCCGTCGACGTCCTCGTCGTCGCTCGCCGTCGTCGTGACTCGCCGTCGTCGTCGTCGTCGTCGTCGTCATCGTCGTCGAGGGTGTCGTCGTCGTCGCTCGTCGCTTGTCGCTCCTGTCGCTCGCCGTCGTCGCTCGTCGCTCGTCGTCGCTCGCCGACGACGTCGTCGTCGCTCGCCGTCGTCGTGGTCGTGGTCGTCGTCGACGAGGGCGTGGTCGTCGTCGCTCGTCGCTCGTCGCTTGTCGCTCCTGTCATTGCCGTCGTCGCTCGTCGCTCGTCGCCGTAGTCGGTGTCGTCGTCGTCGTCGTCGTCGTGGCCGTCGTGGTCGTCGTCGTCGTCGGTGTCGTGGCCGTCGTGGTCGTGGTCGGCGTCTTCGTCGCGGTCGTTCGGTGAGGTCGTAGTCGTCGTCGTCGTCGTCGTCGCAGTTGGCGTCGTCGTCGTCGTCGCTCGTCGTCGTCGTCGCTCGCCGTCGTCGCCGTCGTCGTCGTGACGTCGTCGTCGTCGTCGTCCGTCGCCGTTGTCATCGTCGTCGTCGTCGCTCGTTGCACGTCGCTCGTCGCTCGTCGCTCGTCGCTCGTCGCCCTCGTCACTTGTCGTTGTCGTCCTCGCCGTCGACGTCGTCGTCGTCACTCGCCGTCATCGTGGCTTGCAGTCGACGTCGTCGTCGTATCCGTCGTCGTCGTATCCGTCGTCTTCGTCGTCGTCGTTGTCGTCGTCGTGGCCGTTGTGGTCGTCGTCATCGTCGGTGTCGTGGCCGTCGTGGTCGTGGTCGTCGTCGTCGTCGTGGTCGTTGGGTGAGGTCGTAGTCGTCGTCGCAGTCGGCATCGTCGTCGTCGCTCGTCGTCGTCGCTCGTCGTCGTCGCTCGCCGTCGACGCCGTCGTCGTCGTGACGTCGTCGTCGTCGTCGCCCGTCGCCGTTGTCATCTTCGTCGTCGTCGCTCGTTGCTCGTCGCTCTTCGCTCGTCGCTCGTCGCCGTGGTCGCCCTCGTCTCTTGTCGCTGTCTTTGCTCGCCGTCGTCGTCTTCGTCTCGCCGTCGTTGCCTCTCGCCGCCGCGGTCGTCGTCGTCGTCGTCGTTGTCATCTTCGTCGTCTTCGTCTTCGCCTGGTGTCGTCGTCGTCTTCGTCTTCGCCTGTTGTCGTCGTCGTCGTCGTTTTCTTCTTCTCCTGGTGTCGTCGTCATCGTCGTCGTCTTCGTCTTCGCCTGGTGTCGTCGTCGTCGCCGTCTTCGTCCTCGCCTGGTGTCGTCGTCGTCTTCGTCTTCGCCTGGTGTCGTGGTCGTCGTCGTCGTCTTCGTCTTCGCCTGGTGTCGTCGTCGTCCTTGTCGTCGTCTTGGTCGTCTTCGTCTTCGCCTGGTGTCGTCGTCTCCGTCGTCGTTGTCGTCGTCGTCGTCTTCATCTGCGCCTGGTGTCGTCGTCGTCTTCGTCGTCGTCGTCGCCTGGTGTCGTCGTCTTCGTCGTCGTCTTCGTCTTCGCCTGGTGTCGTCGTGGTCGTCTCCGTCTTTGCCTGGTGTCGTCGTGGTCGTCTTCGTCTTGGCCTGGCGTCATCGTCGTCGCTGCCGCCGCCGTCGTCGTCGTCGTCGTCGTCGTCGTCTTCGCCTGGTGTCGTCTTCGCCTTCGCCGGGAGTCGTCGTCGTCGCTGCCCGAGGTGGGGATCCGTCCATGCCCACCGCTCGGGAGGCCGAGTTTCCTGGACCTCGGGAGGCGGGCCCGGGGCAGCGCTTCCCCAGGCGGTGGCTATGGGCAGAGTCCCACCTGCGTGTCGGGAGCGTTTGGTTCGCGTGTCGCGGCGCCGGTTCTGGCCCACCAAGCTTCGGAGCGCCACGAAATCCACCCAAGTTCCACGCGCCAGATGTCCCGAGCCTTTCCGAGCCTCCCGCCCCGCGGAGCGGAGCGACGCGCTATCCGCTCGCAGGGCATAGCGTGTCGTCAGGGCCGCCGCCGCGACACGTTGAGCAAGGTTTTCGACCATAGAAGGTGACCCCCCCCCCGGACAGAAGCCTCCTGCGGTGTCAGGGGGCGTCCGTGTGCCTCGACGGCGGCTGCCGGACGGCCCCCGGTGGCCTCAAACGATCTCCAGGGGGAGGCCTCCACGAGCCTTCCACATCATGGGGGGGAGGTGGCAGGGGTGGACTGTGCAGGATTGCGCTGAGATCGCGAGCCCGCGGTGGCGCAAGGGGGCGGCGTACGATTCCAGATGTGGAGGAGCGAAAACCAGGCTTCCAAGAGGAAGGCCTTCGGGCTTCCAGGGGCCCCCGTGTGCCGCCTGGAGCCTTCAGAGAGCTCCCTGAGGGCATCCCGTCAAGGGAGCGGCGCGAGGGGTCGCATTTTGGGCCGCACGGTCGTGGCGACCATCATGGCTTCTTTGGTCTCCAGAGAGCTTTCGGAAGTGGAGCCTTCTGAGGATTCCAGGGGGGCATCCAGAGGGTCTCCAAGGGGCCTTCCCGGAGGAAGTGGCGCAGGAGGATCGCAAAGGATTTGCGTGGGGCCGCGAACCCAAGGCGACCATGAAGCTCTCCAGGGGAGGTCCTGGGAGTCCCCAGGGACCTTCATGAGCTTCCAAAGGGTACCCCTGGTTCTCCGTTGGCCTCCACAAGACCAGGGAGCCACCATGGATCTCCCCAGAGAAGGTGGGCCTGGATGATGGTGTGGCATCGCATAGCCTCGAACATCTTGAGTGTTCGCTGAGACTCGATCCCAATCTCAGATGTCGAAGTCCCTCTCGTGGACACTTGTGGCAATGTGCGCGCGGGCCAGAGCCTCTGCCGGAGATCTTCCTCCCTGTTCCTTCCTTCATTCTTTTGGTCCGAGTCTTGGCCGCGGGTGAGAATTAGGCGTGCGTCTTTGCCGTGGTTGCCACCCCACACGGTAAGTTCGCGTCGTGTCGACCAGCGTCGACTCCGCCGCTTGGGTTCAACGTTGAACGCCGCCTGCGACCCAGAATCGTTCAATGTTGACCGATCTGATATTTCGGAAACGGCCGACCGTTCAAGGCTGAACGATCAACGCGGTGTGAGAGACCAAGAAATCGGCATGACACGAACCTGCCGTAGCAGCTTGACTGTAGGAGGAGGGCGGAGCACTGGTGCTGAGGCGCCATGCTCTCTTCCGAGAAGCCTTCTGAGGCTGGACCCCGCCAACTGGGCGGCACGCGGGAGAGGCAGAGGATGGCGGAGGAGGTGGGGAAGAGGGAGGGATGGAGGGCAAGCAGGGAGGCAGAAAGGAAGGGATGGAGGGAGGGAGGAGGAACGAGGAGCGAGGAGGGTGGAGGAGGAGGAGGAGGAGGAGGAGGAGGAGGAGGAGGAGGCCGTAAACGTGCGTCCTAGCCGTGACTGCCGCCCCATACTCGATCCCATCTGTAGGCACCACGGGCGAGACGCTGGAGGTGCTGACGGAGTCCCTGCAGGGGCTGGACCACAAGTTCATGATCGTTCTCAATAAGTCGGACAAGCTGGACAGCTCGGCGGACTTTGCCAGGGCCTACGGCGCGCTGGGCTGGTCGCTGTCCAAGGTCATCAAGTGGAAGGACATCCCCACGCTGTTCACCGTCTTCAACGAAGGCTTCGGAGGCGGCGCGTGCGCCGCCGGCTCCGGCCTCCCCCTGGAGGCCTTCTCGCAGAAGCGCGAGGAGCTCATCGACGAG